TATCCGACTACACCCTTACAGAGTGCGCTCAATGAGCTCCATGCCGTAGTCCTCCTTCAGGGTCTTGATGAGAGGCTCACAGATGTCCCAGGTCACGGGAGCGAGAACACCCTATAATGAAGTCAGTACAGAAAACCTCGAGAGCAAAGGGGATATGGAGAAAACGTACAGTCTTGCTGATGGTACCATCGAGAACCTGCTTAACAGCAACACCACAAGGAATACCAACAGTGCGGGCCATGGCCGAGGAGACGGGGGTACCGTACTCGCACAGGGTGGAGGTACGGGTCTCCTTGGAGCCGTCCTTGTTCTCAATCTCGAACTTGTGCTGGAGCATAACGAGATCACGCTCGTCGGGACCGTACTGCATCTTCTGCTCGAGGGTAGCGCAGAGGGTGTCGAGGGCGTTTCCGCGGGGAATGGTCTGCTCGTCGGAGAAGAGACCAATCCAGCGCAGGCCGGAGAGAAGACGATCACGCTCTTCGTTGTTAGGGAAGTTAGTCTTGGACGCGATGGCCCAGTGCAGATCCTGCTCGGAGGACGAGGTAGCGCCGAGAACGGCCTTGGTGGCCTCCTTCCATGAAGTGGCCTTATCGAAGACACTATTAGGTGCGTCGTTGAGGAAACCAATGTCGACAAGGACCTTGATCATCTCAGGGAAGCCCTGGTAGCGGAGAGTGCCGCGAATAACGGTCTGGGCCTCGGGGATACCGTAGCGCTCGCGGAAGGGAGTCTGGAAATGTTAGTTTACTGGAATTAAGATTTTGAATGCATAAATGTCATACAGAATCGCGGTTAGGGTAGCCGACGAAGGCAAATCCAGGGTAAATGAAGAAGGGCTTAGCGGTAGCCATCAGATCAGGGCCGTCGATGGACACAACCTTGCCATCTGTATTCTGCATTAATACTCTTTGGTTCCTGATTAGATGTGAATGAAGCACGTACCTTGGTAGATCTTGGCGGCGTTACGGAGGGCAAGAAGCACACCGCGGCTGGGCTAGTTAGTTATTTGTTCAAACAAAACTCAGAATTGGACTTTTGCTAACCTAGACCAAGAGAACTTGAAGAAGCCATTTGTTAGTTATTTATCAAATTAGGGAGAATTTGGCTTTTGCTAACCTTGTATCCCAGGGGGTTGTTGGAGCATTCGGGGGCGGGCAAGCTGTTGTATGTTAGCTATACCTGCTATAGAACATGGGAATGATCTGACGAACCCTCCACAGAAGGAAACAAATCCGGTAACCTTGCCGCCAGCAGCGTGGACCTCGTGAATGGTCTTAACAGCGTCTATTTTCTTTTATAAGCGTCGGTCTGTTTTAATCTCTGGTAGAAACACTTACAGAGGTGATCAAGACCAGGGTCGAGACCGATCTCGTTCATGACTGTGATACCAGCCTCGCGGCACTGCTCGTCCAACTCCATCATCGCCGGGGAAACGTAAGATGTGGTAACCACGTTTGTCTGTTGTAGTGAATTAGTAAAATGCCCGCTTCCTCTATAGAGATCATAGTTACCTTGGTGCGGATAGCAGACTTGATGACAGTAGCGTGGAAAGTGTATGGGATAAGCGAAATCACAACGTCGGCCTGGTTCAGGGCAGCATCGAGAGCGGCATCGTCGTTGACATCAAGAGAGATGGCCTTGGCGTTCTTGAAGCCAGAGGCCAGGGCCTGGGCGCTCTCGAGGGTACGGCAAGCTATTACCGCATCGTCAGCGATTATTCATTGCAATAGGAGTTCATGTAATTCAATTGGACATACCGACAGTGACCTCAACATCAGCCTTGCTGAGAACATCAACAGTGGGCTTAGTGACTACCAGAAACCCAAAATTAGCAAATGTATTAACTCTAGAAGCTCGATGCGGGGCACCATGACGCGTTTAGGGCTTGGAGATTTGAAAGAGAGACGGGAGGCGTACCGAAGCCCGAACCCAAAAGGAGGGCCTTGGAACCGGCGATTTGCTTAACCATTTTGATTCAATTGATTTGATAGATGATATTGGGGTAGTTCAACTGGAGAACATCCCGCAGTCCTTCTGTGTGACTCAATATCACGTGAACCGGTATCGGGGCGGGGTGCTTACTAACCACAGACTCGCCCCGGGGGCCGGGCCGGGGCATCAAAAGGTCGTTTCCACCGCCTGCTGTTTGAGGCCAGTTATTTTGAAGCTGAGAAGGGAACAAGTTGTTGAAAAGGACATTTTTGTATTAGATGATCTGAAGTATGTAGTAAGACAGATAGAAATGGATAAGAAAGACAATCCATGTTCAAGAAAGCTAGCTATAACCAGAGGAAAAGCGCATGTATGCAAACAACCAATGCAGGCAAAAAGGAGGTGGAGGATTAGTAGATGATATTTTATTTACCGAGGACCGATGTAGTGTACGGCGATGCAAAATATATGCTGATATCAAGTCGGGCGTGCCCAACAGAAACTCCGCAAAAAGCAAGACGCCAGTGATGCTGAAGCTGAACAAAAACGAGTAGACACAGGGTATATGATAGACAATTTACTATATGTCTTTGACCTTTCCACCTTGACGCCACATCATTGAGTCTGGATTTTCCTCGCTCGACTTTGAGTCGCCGGCGAAGTTCCCCTCTGCATTGGGGTCCTGTCGGGACTTGGAAATCCGTCTCTGCCATCCAAGCATCACAGGTAGGAAGTGCCACAGGTCGAACTCTGGCCACATAACATTGAGGAACACGATCTCCGTGTTCTCATGGGTCTGCCAGAGCATAAAGTCACTCAGGCGTTCGACGCCTGAAGTGCGGATCAGGATATCCAGGGGCGGAGTACCCTTGGTCAACATGTGGTCGTTTAGAGTTTGACGAGTGATGGTTTCGGGGGAGATATAGACTGGGCTATCTGACCCAGCGGTGGATCTTGTTGGTGAACCTCCCTTGGGGTCTTGCTGGTTTCCGAGGTGGAGGGTTGTGGAAGATGAGCAGGAAGACATCGATCCATAAATTCGGTCGGACTCGTGCCGAGGAGATGCATCATCCTCGTGCCCCGAAGAACCCGACGTGGATTCAGAATCACTGTGTAATTCGTGTGTTGTCGAGCCAAGTGTTTGGGCGCGGATATTATGTGCGATATGGGATTCCGAGAAGGGATTGCGAGAAGCGGCGGTCGCGGAGTGACTTTGTTCGATCGGCGTGCTATAATCCTCCACCGTGTCGCGGATAGCGGAGGTGATCTCGTCGCGGGAGGTGTAGGGGAAACAGATATTTAGCACGCGGTCTCCGTTGCGGCTGGTCATGTCGACTGCTTTGTTGACGGCCTCCAAAACGTCGGGTTTGAGCATATCGAGACGGCCCAGGACGCGAACCTTTGCTCCGTATCGATCAAGTAGGTCTCCGTGCTGAGCCATCTGCGACAGCTTCACCTTTGCCATTTCCATGAGTGCATCCACCTCGAATTTTGAGCGTTTGAAGTTCTCGATGCTGAACGCGTAGATCGTGACTACCTTGACTCCACTCTTGTAGCAGACTTCAAGGATCTAATTGTCGTCAATATGGACACAATACGGACACTGTCGTGTAACCCTGAGCTAGCAAAACGTAGCACTCACTCTTGCAAGGGCTTCAAACCCCAGATTGTGTCCCTCCACTGTCTCAATTCCATGTGATCGAGCAAAGCGCCTGTTTCCATCCATGACAAAGGCCACATGCTGTGGGACAGGGCCCTGTTGGATTGCGCCGATCAGCAATTCCTTTAGGCTCGTGATGGCATATTCGGCAGGCGGAGAGGCGAGGAACCAGTTTCGGAGGCGTGACATATGCATTGAACCCGACATGATGAATATGTTGAAAGATGTAAGTCCTTAAACTCCGTAGAAAGAAAAATTGAGGAGTTGGGGATCGGAACTGTGTATGGAGTTGAAGATAAAAAAGGTGCACGGTTAGCCGGATTCGGGCTTTGTGCTACTAAAACGCGACGTGGTCGGTTATGACAGTCTGATTAAAGGGGGCAATTTTTAGAATAAGTTTTGAGGCGATGCACTTTTTTTTGCCTAGGCTACATCATTTTCATATGCATTTCTAGTTTTAGTTTTTTTAGCCCCCTTCTTAGAAGAGGCGAAAATGAATCATCGGCGATTTATCTGATCTTATGGGTTATAACACCCCGATGTTTATTTCATATTTTGGGTACATAACTAATATATATATATATATATATATATATATAATAAGTGTACTCTCTATATAAACAATATTCTACAATATATAATGAGATAATAACCTATAGCCTTGAAATACATGTTAGGCTATCAAGTTTTTACCCATATACTGCCTGCACATGCACATGTGACTCCGTAGTTATGCTAACTATAGCACAGCCATATTTATGATCAACCTCTACATTTAAATCGACAGCCCTGGGCTGAATTATTACAGAGCTAAAAGTCCAAGAAATAGGAGGCTCTGGAAATTCTGTAGATGAAAAGGAAGTGATCGACTAGTGCTAGCCACATGACCTCTGAGTAGCATGATCTGACCCGGGATTCGCCTCCAAAGTTTAGCCTGTCTAAACATCATCCATTGAACTCTTTCCCCGGATATTTGATATTGTCAGGCGGATTGATATAACTATTATTGCACGGATGCATGGCTGCCTGAAGCTCCCGAATCTCCCGTCAACTCCGTAATCTGGGGAAGTGTCCACAGGTCCACTGATAGCCGAGAGTCAGAGTTGAATACGTAACTATCATAGACATCCTACCTAAGTCGTATGGTGCCTTCTTTTTTTTAATATTATGATACCCTATGGTTTTAGTCATAAATGGACGATCAACCGATTTTACTAATACCATTCTATTATAAACCTTCATTGGCAAACATCCATATCATTCGTAAGTGCATAAGCACCGCTTTCGTGTCGCTAACTGCTAATTGATGAGGACATAATGTACATGAGATGGAGAATCAAAAGCTAGTTTGAATATGTCATAGAAGGGCATCTTGAAATAGGCCTCCGCTTCATTACTAAGTAGATCAAGTGGCCCGTCGCAGCCTCTCCTCTAGCTCTTGGGCGACACTTTGTGACTGAACCTCCTCGTAGCATGGAGGTGGCTCCACGGGCTCGGTACCGGTGTCAGATACTCGACTGCTTTGTGACTCTTCTGGTGTCTCGCTCGGTCTAGCATTTTGGCTAGTATTAGGCGGAGCTTCATATGCAGGCAACTCTTCCAAATGAACTGCTGAGAGATCCACGTTTTGTTGCCCACGAGTGCCTTCGCTTGTGTTCTCAACAGCCTGCTCAAGTCGTTCCTTGATTCGCTCGAAATTGGTATGGAAGTCAAAGGCTCCGCCCTCCTTAAATGTCACTTTCAACTGAATGGCAGGTAGAGATGGTGAAACGCCACCTCCAGGTACTGGCTGTACGAGAGCTGTCCATATATTGGGCCCAAAGAATGGCGCAGATACATGGGAGTCACGGACATTCAAGAGAGGTGACGAGAAGGACTGGAATTCATTGCTTCTGGTGGCGGGAAGGTAGACAATCTGGCGAGTCACCGCGAGTGTTAGAAGAGGAAGACATGGAGGTAAATGGATACTGACTCTTTGGTTGGTGAGGTGGATATAGCCGGCATTGCTTTGAATTGAAAGTTTTTCTGCGCCTTTGTATCCCACCGGTGGAGTCAAGGAGAGACTGGTACGAGGAGGAGAGGAGTAGATCAAACGCTCGTTGGGAAGACGGACGAAGCCATCCTGGTCATCAAGCATTACCCAACTAGACAGTCAGTATAGATGCGTATATGGGTCTGGTCCTGGCCTCAGAGAGAAGCAGTCATAGGAAGCAGAGGCATACTTGAGAGACATGATGCGAGATTAATTCAGGTGCATGTGACACCGTTTTTATCAAGGAAACGGTCAAGGTTGGGGATGAAGATGAAAGGTGGGAAGGAATTGGGGACGTGTGGGATTAAAAGAGATTTCCCCAAAGAGAAAGGATTTATAAGTCAAAGGGATGAAGACTTGTAGAATATCAAAAGTGAAGTTGGAAAGGCGGGGCAGGCGGGGAGACCTGCAGGGGAAACTTCTACGTTGTGTACTGTACTTGTTATACATGAAAATTCCCTTTTTTTTCTTCTCGTGTTATATATAATTTAGATATAATTTAGATATAATTACACTACATTATGTATTTAACACTATATCAAATTCTATATTGTCTCCACCATAAGCTTAATCGTTTCACTTGTGGCTATAGCTTCTAGGCCGATCCCATTAAAAAATAGCCGCATGACGCTTTGATCGCCGAATACCAGTTTGCATGTGAATTAGACATGTTAAGGAATGTAAATGTTGGTGGAAAGGGTAGGAATTCCAAAAGATTTACTCAGATATATTAGCTGTCGAATGTAAGATATATAACATGATATACAACATTGAAAGAAAATACCTCAGAAATTCGTTGAACTTCCATAAGATGTCACGTTCTAGAAGCGTCCGAGTCAAAGCGCGCTAAGACGTCAAAACTTTCCAACTTCAGATTCCATCCCCCCCCCCTCTCAACTTCTCCCATCTTGTCTAATATATTAGATCATACGTGATCTGACGTTCGAAACTAAGGTGGGTCCCCCCAAGCTCTTCCCGGTTATCCGTACTTACATTCATCTTTTCTTAAGGGACTTCATGTCGACACGATCATAACACTTTCACCCCTCCACCCTTCTTTCCCCCGGAAACTGCCCATCGGGCTTCTACAGTACAATGGGAGAAAAAGGCCAGTACATCCCACCCCTCATTGGGTGGATGTATGATTTGGTCCTTTGGACATTCTCCGTACTCATCGACCTCTTCTTCCGCGAAGTCCACCCCCGAGGCTCATGGAAGATCCCCCGCCGCGGTCCCATAATTCTGGTGGCAGCTCCTCATGCGAACCAGGTATGCCGCGCCCTTCCGGTTCCACACACACAAGCTAATGATGGATGTTTACCTAGTTTGTGGATTCCTTGGTTTTGATGCGTGTCATTCGCAGCGAAGCGCAACGTCGCATCTCATGGCTTATTGCGGACAAGTCTTTCAAACGCAAGTTCATTGGATTTCTGGCGAGGGGAATTGGGGCATTGCCCGTGGCACGTGCCATGGACAACTTGAAACCCGGGACCGGCACTATCTATCTCCCCGACCCGATCAACGAGCCAACTCTGCTACGAGGTGTTGGAACCAACTTTGAAGGGAAAGGCTTCGAAAAGGACGGAACTATTGCTTTACCCACCATCAACGGAACTTCACACAGTACTGCGATCGCCGAGATCAAGGGACCAGAGGAATTGGTCCTCAAGAAGGCTTTCAAGCACAGGGATGCGCTGGCCCAGCTTACTGGACGGGATGACATTGATCGTGATGGAAATTTCACTGGAGATGCATCCAACCAGGATCCAGATTTCAAGGGTACCAAATTCAAGGTTGCTCCGCATGTAGATCAGACCGCAGTCTATGAGGCAGTATTCAAAAGGCTGGGCACAGGAGGATGTGTCGGTATCTTCCCGGAAGGTGGAAGCCACGACCGCACTACACTACTTCCCTTGAAAGGTAAGCTCTTTGTGTCTAATAGATCCAAAATATTCACTGACATGACACTGACATGATATAGCTGGTGTCGCCCTGATGGCTCTGGGCACTCTGGCTGAAAACCCGGACTGTGGTTTAAAGATCGTGCCTTGTGGCATGAACTATTTCCATGCCCACAAGTTCCGCTCCAGGGCCGTTATTGAGTTTGGTACTCCAATTGAAATTCCCTCGGAATTGGTGGAGCAGTTCAAGCAAGGTGAACGACGGGAGTCTGTCGGTGCTTTGCTGGAAATCATCTACGGAAGTCTCGTCTCGGTTACTGTCACTAGTCCTGATTACGAAACTCTTATGGTAGGTTTCTTCTTATGTCAGAAATTCCCCTTCGCTAACAATTCGCAGGTCATTCAAGCTGCCCGTCGTCTATACAACACCAAAGGCAAAAATCTCCCTCTTCCTATGGTCGTGGAGCTGAACCGTCGTCTTGTGAAAGGTTACGCCCACTTCAAAGACGATCCGCGGATCGTTGGTCTACGCAAGTCTATTGTAGATTATAATAAACAGCTTCGTATTCTCGGAATCCGGGATCACCAAGTGACATACGCCAAATTCTCCATTTTACAGGTGGTGGCTACATTGATCTATCGCCTAGGAAAACTGGTTCTCTTGGCAATCGGAACGCTTCCTGGTTTCCTGCTCTTTACCCCCGTTTTCATTGCGACCAAGTACCTCTCGGCTAAGAAGTCCAAGGAAGCACTGGCTGCTTCTACAGTGAAACTTCAAGGCCGAGATGTCATGGCCACATGGAAGCTTCTTATTGCCCTTGCATTCGCTCCGGCACTCTATGCATTCTACACTGCTGCCCTCACTTATTGGACGTACTGGAACCGAGTCAATGGAATGGTTCCAGACTGGGTACCACTTTGGTCGGTAGTGATGATCGGCATGGTACTCTTCCCCACAATCACTTTTGCAGCCCTTCGGATTGGTGAAGTGGGCATGGACATCATCAAGTCACTTCGCCCACTTGTTCTATCTCTGAATCCATCATCGGCCAACACGCTGGTGCGACTTCGAGAGAGACGTGCTGCACTGGCTCATCAGGTGACAGATGCGATCAATACCATGGGACCAGAGCTATTCCCTGACTTTGACGCCGCTCGAGTTGTCACCGATCCATTCCGGGAAGCGAGCAACACTGATACGAAATCCGAGAACGAATTGCCAGAGATTAGAAGAACCAGCGTGGCGGACCATGGCGAGAAAATGCCTTCGTCAGAGCCCCTCCCCCGCAACGAGTCCTTCCACAATCTGGCCAACATTGGCTTCTTCTCCACACGGCCTCCTAGTCGTGATCGTAGCCGCAGCAGATCTGCTAGCGCCCGACCTGGGTCTCGTCACGGACTGAAGCCGCTCAGCCCTCTCACTCCGAAAGACCCGCTTGAGGATGTCAGTTCACGGATTCGTGATGCCATGAGGGAGCGCGGAGAGCGTCGTCGACGCCGAAGCGAAGATGGAAGCTGGGATATGGGCAGCTCGGGCCCTGGAACTCCATCCAGCACTGAGGAGTCCCGAAAAGATCTTTGAGATGTGAGCTCCCTTGACCATTTCCTTTTACCATCCCGACTATCATAGTGGGCTGTGTACGTATTTGCTCTTATATAATCATGCAAGATATCCTCTCTGTTTTATTTATGATTATGAATGTCATCAAGCATCCACCTAGGGGAACAACCTTGGAATTCATTCTAATAGCGTAATTAGTACAAAGTTCATCTAAGCAACTTCCTAATACAATCACGGAAGCTATGACCTTGAAACTGTGCCCCACAAAATGAAACTAGTCCTAATCTGGTAACAGTACTTACTTAAAATACCCACGCGGTTTTTGAAGCTCATTGTTTCAACCTCCCTTTCATACTCTCGATATCTCTTTTAAATCTCACAATGGAACCTACTCAGAACCAGCTGGCACGTCCGTTACCCTCTTTGAGCAGGAAATTCGGCACCTCCAACCCATCGATACATAGTGAGCGCGTCTCCCTGATGTATATGCATCAGTGGAATTCATTCGCTCAAGATGCCTTCGACCGTTTTCAACGAGAAAACCTAGTGCATCAGGTCGCTATCCATGATGAAAATGAGTTATACACAGTTGGAAACGAATTAGGCCTTACTGGCAGGTTTGTGCGAAACCTATGCGACCCAGTAATGAGGGCACTAGAGCCACTGTCCAGCATGTCGTCTATGAGATTTGCGGACCTCCAAGCTATCACTTACGACGCAACAAGTATTGTTCCAGATGTTTCTTTGGGACTTGTTAACACCCAGTGTACACCTGATAATGTTTATCTAGTCGGTGAACTAAAGACGCCATGGACATTTCCTGAGGCACATATGAGACTAGGCCGGCCGAGTACCTCTCACCATCTTGAGCCGTTGATTGGTATGTTCTCACTTATGTCTTCTTCTATCATTGTGGAGTTAAAAGCCGACCCTTCTCTTAACCAACTCCTAGGTCAACTCGTTAGTCAAATGCGAATGGCCTTTCTGCAATATGGTTTTGTGTCCACCTATGATTCTACAGTCTTTGTCAAAAGGACTGCCGACGACTGCTTTCTACTTTCTGAGCCTATCAGATATGATGCCGCCCAACCCTCGTTGCGACAACTGTTTACAGGGTTTTGTCTGATGGCCTTGTCAGAGCCGCGGTACCATGAGAGCCCATCTTTTTCTGCCACAAGCGTATCTATCTGAGTGCCCCTAGGAAGTAAGAACAGCTGCTGATATATTGAAAAGCTCAGAGGCCCTCCTCCACCACATATCTCAGATCGTCTCTGCGGAGATGAGCCTCACCCACCTCAACCGCCATCTGCACCAACCGCACAAGCAATCACTTCAACTAGTGTCGTACTCGACTATGGTCAAGGCACACCTATGATCGTCAATTGTGTTCAACAGCTATCAAATCCAAACGTAGACGCCAAGGCGGTTTGGCTGGCCGACCTGGACGGTAGGTCTGTTATTATCAAATGCTGGAGATTTGAACTTGAGGAGTTGTGAGTTATACCACATTCTTTTATTGGGCTTCACTAATTATTCATATATAGGTTTGATTCGGAAGCAGCGGTTTACGAGAGGATTTGGACACAACAACCGTCCGGGACTCATATGTTCGCCAAATGGATATCTCGAGGCAAGATCATCTGTTCGAGTGTTTTCACATCCGGCTACGCAATCGTTCTTGAGTATAGGGACGGTGCACGTCTCTCTACTATCTGGCATATCCTAAACGAACTTGAACGTACACACATTAAGACCCAGTCCCTCAACGGCATCAATGCCCTTCGGCAAGTCGCAGTACGACTCAGTGATCCGGGAATGCATAACATGCTTTATGACAGACAGAGGCGAACAGTCACTTTACTTGACTTTGAGGTTGCGGTGGAAATTCAACCTAACACTTCTATCCCCACTTATCACGAAATGGGGGCAATATTCGGGCCAACCACTATGCTATGGCATGAGTAAGGATATTCTATGTTGTATTACAAGGTTTGCTTCACTAATCCTACTTTTTTTGCTCATATCGTATCACGAATCGTATAGATGAAGATCGCTCTAGATATTAGGTATCAACGACGAGCTCACTCTTCTCCGCAGGGTAGATGACTATGTGTAGTAACCTTCCAGTGAGGCCAATATGAGCTCAGATGTATATAATGTGAACTTCTGCCGGCTGAACCTTGATAATTTCCTCAGTAATTATACTAACTACCTCTTAAACTGTACTGTTAAGTCCGCGATGGTGTTGGACCCTACTGGCCAATCACGTGCGGCATAATTGGCGTCTCTCAGCGGCCGGGCCTTTCCGATTTTCCAGTCCGAAAGAAGCAGCTCTTGGGCAAAACCAACAACCTCCCTCAATTACAACCCCCTTCCGCTTTTCCACCCCCACACAAGACCTCCGGTCATCATTCAATTGATCTCTGTCGCAATGGGTCTCTCCGACTTTTTCTCTGACGTTGTCTCCTCCTTCGGTTTCACCGAGGCCCAGGCTGAGGCTCCCGTTCAAGACACCGAGACCGAGACCACCACCCAGGAAGAGCCCGCCGAGAAGGAGGAGTCCGCTTCCACCGAGTCCACTGAGACTGAGTCCGCCGAGGAGACCCCCGCTGAGGAGGAATCTTCTGAGGAGGCTCCCGAGGAAGAGGAGGCTGAGGCCGAGGAGGAGGAAGAGGAAGAGGAAGAGGAAGAGGAGGTTGAAGACATCAAGCCCAAGCTTGAGGATGGTGAGTGACCTGTTGTTTTGACTTTTGCTTTTTTTTTATTCGCCCCCCATTGTCGCCCATGTCATGCGATCGTTGGACGTAAGCCGTTCGCACTCCAATTGGTCCTATGTGTCAAGATGTGCGTCTGCGGTATAATTTCGCCAATGGCACTGCAAAGACGAATTCCACCAGCTTTCTCGATCGGAAACTAACCATTATTTTTAGAGTGCGCCCACTCCGCCGTCTGCGCTCCCTACAAGCACCACTACGATGAGTGCGTTGAGCGCGTCACCCGCCAGGAGGAGGATGAGGATTACAAGGGCCCCAAGGAGGACTGCGTCGAGGAGTGTAAGTGCAATTGACACCAACGATGGAACCAAACGAAACTATGGGTTTGCCTTCTATCGAGTTCTGGTCCTGCGACTAACATAACCCCAGTCTTCCACCTCACTCACTGCGTGACCGCCTGCGCTGCCCCCAAGCTCTGGAGGGAGCTGAAGTAAACGACTCTTCCATTGAGTCTTGATTTCGGCGTTCCAACCCTTGCATCGATCTAGCCCACGGATATTCTTCGCTCCCCACCGCATCGATGCGGGGGAAACCCTTTGGACCGAAACGCCGGATGAAGAACCAATCCCGCTTTCATGATGGCTGCTAAGGCCAATTCATAGCCTGGTAGCTTGCCGCCTTGGATTGAGAACGCAGGGTCGATCCAGAAACGTGAAATTTTGTTTTCTGCTCGTTCCTTGCGTATGTGTGCGCATATTGTGTTTTCAAGGCAGAGAGGAGGGCCCAGAGGAAGTATGAAAGAATAATAGATCATTTGCCCTCCTCTTTCAGCCTTGCGTGTACAGATAGCTGGTCTTCCGCCTGTTCGAACTGTGCTTTTGTTTAATCTTTTGTAAAACGAATCTCATCTGTCTAGATTGACATTGTGCCCTGGTAGGCAAGGCCTATAGCCATCACCCAATTATAGTATTCATATAAGTCAGTTGTTGTGGTCATATTGATCCACAAGTACGCTCAATTTACTAAGACTGATATAGACCCAAACGAAGTCCCTGTCGCAAATTCAAAAGATATTAGGGTAACATAATGGAGTATCACATACGCTGATTAGAGGACAGCAGAAACAAAGATTCGTCAAGAACATGCACCATGGCCATGGCGCAGCATAAGAAAGGAATGAAACATCATAGCTCTTCCAAACTGGGGGTGGGATAAATCGCACATCCCAAAAGAACTCTGATAGCGGGAGGGCAATCTTAAGTCTTCATCAGAGTATCTGTATCCACAGCAGAATCATCAGACCTAACCTTCCTAACATTATCGGCCGTCCCAGCCACCTCCTCAGTCTCTTGCAACTCAACGCCTTGATCAACCTCCAACCTACGATGGTGAACAACCCTTCCAAAGAGTCCAATCGTCAACGGGAAGGGCGCAGCGACAACGGCAATTACAGCCGCAAATATTAACGCATTCCGCATATTATACGGTGGCGCAGCCTCAGCCCCAGCCTTCAATGCATCCTGAATAAGAATAAAGCATGCACCAAGCAACTGCCCACCCGTCCAGCACATGGTACTTCCAATCTCTGACGAGAGCGGATAAGTAATCTCAGCCAGGTACTCTAGAACAATGGGCAGCATCGCGAACGATGCCGCACCCAGCAGCGCCATCACCACATACGAAGGTGGGATTCCCGCCGAACTGCCCGGTGCAAATATCAGCCCGATATACGTGACTACCACCACAGGAACAAGCACCCGGATACTGCCCAGATAATGCTTGTAGCGATCTGTTATCGGCGACATGATTGCTGATGTGATGAGGCCCACCACGATCAGGATAGCTCCCGCAATGCCTGCTTCTGTCTCGGAGAATCCATGCGGACTGAGAATCTGGTTTAACAGCGAGGAAACGCTGTTGAAGAAGCCCACGTATACAGAAAACGGGACGAAGATCTGCCAGAACTCCCGCGTTCTGGTTAGTTTGCGTACTGCTTCGCCCAGTGGCGTGTGCGGCTTTGCGGACGATGCGCTTGCGGGTGTTGGTGGTGCTGCTGGAAGGAAGAATGATGGGAGTGCTGCGACGGTGGACTGTTTGGTTACGTGGTGTGTGAGCGAGAGGGAGAAAGGACCAATGGATGGCTGGAGTTTTGGGGGGTGGGTTTCACGTACGATGACCGAGATGTACAGAACCATATTTGGAATATCGGAGGGTTTTGATGCCCACTCTGCGTCAATTAGCTGGCCCAGGGCTGCGCCCAGTGGGTTTGCTAGACTGGCGACGGCTGTTGCGCTTGTGCGGCCTTTGTCTGAGAACCAGAGCTCGCTGTATCGAGTTGGTGCGCAGAGGCAGAAGGGCTGCGCGAACCCTATGAGGATCTGGCCGAACATTGCGAGCCCATAGATGCCCCCGTTCGCTCTAGTACCGGCATATCTGAGCCAGTTGCCGACTAATAGCAGTGTGGCAGTAGTGACTATGGCTGGTTTGGGTCCGCCTTTGTTCAGGATCCAGATGACGATGCTGGGAGTCTGGTTAATGAATGGGATACTTGGAGCTGGAGTGTTGTCCTCTTTCTGTTATACTTACGGGCTAACAGCGCAGAAGGCGAAGAGATAGCCAGTGCTCATCCAGTTAATAGCGCTCTCCGAGACATCGAAGTACTCTGCGGCCGTTGTCGAAATGGACGAGAATGTCAACCACTGTATAGAGTCAACGACATGCAAGGTAGGTCAATTGCAGAGCACATACATCCCAACTAACGACGATATTCAGCAATACCAGCTGGGCCAGTCCCCAAAAGCGTCGCTTGTAGACCTTGTAGATAGGTCGAGAGCCCTGCTCGGTATCTGGGAGCTCTGTAGTCGCCATGTCCACAGTTGTAACAAACCAAATTACATTCTGTGCGGACCTCTATGATAAAATGGAACAAAGCGGGCATTTAGTCTCTTGGCCTTTTTTTCATGTCACTCTAAGGATCCGAGGCACGCGCTACCGTGGTACTTGGCAGTACTTGATGAACCATACTATGATGTTACATTGAACAAGTACTATTAGGTAGTCCGTACCTTACTCTAGGTATATAGCGGGGTTGTTCATGTGAGGTTGTACTTATATTAATTTATCTTATTATAGCTACGGAGTAGTAAATATTGTATAGTTAGATATTGTATAAGTATATAGTCGAATGTATCTCTACAAGTGGATATCTCTCCCCTGTAGGTAGTCTAGTCCAGTTTTAAATGATCAAAGAAAGAAGAAAAAAAAAAGGATTCAGGGGTATGAACTTCAATATACCATTTACTCCTTACATATATGTACTCAGTATATCTTTTATGTACAAATCGAACATATCATTTAAAGAGAAAATTGTAGAGAAATGTCTGTGAATTGTGCCGTGTATTTTCTCCTTTACTCCCCGCCATCTAATTACCGACATCTCTCTCCACAACTCTTTAAACTCAGATATATTACATTTCCTTCCACCGCCCATGATGCGCGACACCTGTTCTTAAATTTCTCCTGATTATTCTAAGTGGAGAGATCCTGGCCAACGGCCATGAATACCAGTATGCGATCCAGCCAGTCCTCCTACGGGGACCCGCGATATCTCTCGACCATGACCGCCTCCGATGCCCCAGCTCCAATCCCGCCGCACGGAAAGTCACTCGTGGATGGGTATCGGGATGCTCTGGACCCCCAACATGAGGAGCGGTCACGATATAATCCAGTGAGTACACAACACCCATGGACGCATAGTACTCCAGCTAACCATGGTTACCTCGTCTCTGGTAGCTCAACTCGGCCCACCCGCGAAGCTCGGCTCTCCTGAATGCCAACGACCCTGTCGCCATGTACCTGTTGACCGAGACAGCTATAGGGGATAGCACAAATTATGAAGTGTTATCCTTCGAGGAGGTGGAAGAGCTGAAGAAGGAAGTCACGTTACTATCTACCCGCATCCAGGGTACGAAGCGGAAACTGGCACTCGAAACGAAACTACGTGATGCGGCGCAGTCTCTTGGTAGGCTCTATAGCCCGCCTAGCCCACGAAGTAGCGGCGAATACAATTCCAATGGCGGTTCGAACCCGCGCCGGAAGAGCCGGGGCATATTTGGTCGCAGTGAGGCTGCTGAGGCCCTTGACAAGAGCGACTCCGAACTCGCGGTCAGCCAGCGGCGATGTGAGGAGTTGGCGCAGGAACTCTGGAAGCTGGAGAAGAGGTCTCAGAAGATCAACCAGCGCTTGCTGGAGCATACTGCCGGTATCTTGCAGATGACACACAAGGGTCTGAAAAAGGGTCCTAAAAACCCTGCTCCGCACACTTCGGATAGCACCTATGATGATCACAAATTCGATGACCGCAGTCTCTACCGGGCGGGCGAGCATTTGGATGACTTTGGCGTACACGGGAAGGGTGAGACCAACGCGGCCGCCGCAATGAATACGGAGGCCATGCAGGCTACAGAAAGACGATTGGAGGAACTGAGCGAGCGCATGCATGACATGATGATACAGTCCAACCCCGGTGAATTCATCGATCCTCCTCCGCAGCTGTCAGCAGGCGGAGGGCCTGTCAATCCCACAGCAACGGTCGAAGCTCACCTGGCCTATATCAAGAATGGCATGAATAATATCGTCTTACATACGGGAGACGCTCCTACTCCTGTGACTGCTCGCGATGTTGCTCCTGAAGCTGAGGGCGCCTGGAAACATCAACTCACCAAAATTAACAACCAAGTGCAAACCATCGTTGATCGGTTTGGGTTGACCCGTTCGCCAACCTTGCCTCCTCCTCCCGATGCGTCTCACGGCGAGGGGCTGGAAGAACAACTCTCATACCTTCAGACTGGTTTAGATGGTCTGGATAGTCGAGTGGATGGAGTACTTGAGCAGAAGAGTATCCTCACCATACAAATCCAGCAGCAACGCGAGCTCAACTCCAAGTCAGATGCCGAACGAGATGCCTATATCGGTGACCTAACAGAACAGTTGAACCACGCTCGCAGAGATCTTGAAGTATCTGAGCGTGAGGGTAACGCCAACCGCGACGAGCTGGCCCTTGTCATGGGACAGCTCAACGCAATGCGTCAAAATGGTTCTTCCCAGGAAGAAGCCAAAGCGGCCCTAGTTCAGGCCGAGGGCGAAGTGGCACGTTTGCAAAGCGTTATCACCTCGTTGCACAGCGAAGCTGATGCCAGGGTTCGCGAAGTCAAGGAAGCCCGAGATGCCCAAGATGAAGCAGAGACCGAGCTTAAACGCTTGCAACAGTACATCGACGAAGTGCAAAGAGAAAACGATAGCAAGGCTGAGGAAGTCAGTGATGCCCGCGACCGTGCAGAAGGCGAGGTCAAGCGGCTACAGGTCGTTGTTGCATCATTGCAAGATGATACCGACGCCAAGAACGAAGAGATCAGAGAGGCCCGTGACCATGCGGAAGATGAAGTGAAGCGTCTACAGGTCGTCATTGCATCTTTGCAGACTGATACCGACGCTAAGATCGAAGAGGCCCGCCGCCATGCAGAAGACGAAGTGAAGCGTCTACAAGTGGCCATTGAGTCTCTGCGAAATGATACCGACGCTGAGATCGAAGAGGCCAGGGAGGCCCGCGACCGTGCGGAAGACGAAGTCAAGCGCCTACAGGCCATCATTGAATCTCTGCAAAACGACACCGCCGTCAAGAGCAAAGAGGCTGTGGAAGCCCGCGACCGCGCGGAAGATGAAGTCAAGCGTCTGCATATCGTCATTGAGACTTTACAAAATGACGCCGACGCTAGAGACGGGGACATCAAGGAAGCCCGAGACCGTGCGGAGAACGAAGTCCAACGCCTGCAGAGCGTCATTGAAACCCTACAGAACGATAGTGATTCTAGATCCGAGGAAGTTAGAGGTGCTCGTGACCGCGCAGAGCAAGAGGTGGCTCAACTCGAAGCCGCCATCCAACAGATCCGGATTCAATCTGATGCCCGTATTAAGGAAGCAGATGATCAGCGCGCGCAGTCCGAGCATAATGCCACTCGCCTGCAGAATGAGATGACTGAGCTCGAAGGCGAGATTGTGCGGGTCACAACTGAACTGACTATGGTCAAGGCAGAGCTGGATGGTGCATATGGTACCCGAGCTGAACGCGCGGCAGAGGTGTCTTCCAACCCTAGTATACAAAGGGAGAACGATGCTCTGGTTACCCGCAACATCGAGCTCACTGAGGAACTTGCTACTCTAAAGAGTCAGCGAGGAGGTGGTGATCTTCAGCAGCGGGCGGATACTCTTGAAAGAGAGCTTCGTGAGACCATTGACGACTACGAAGCCATGACAAAAGCCAGCATCGAGTTTGAGAAGGAACGCGAACGTTTCGAAAGTTTCATTGACAGTCTGCGGGATCGCTGCGAGCAACTCGAGACACAACTGGCAGAAGAACGTATCAGCTGGATGAACTTGAGTAGTCCTACATCTGTGGGCCGTGATGGCACTTCTGAGACAACATCTACTATGGTGCTTAAGAATGAGTTCAAGAAGATGATGCGTGATACGCGCAACGAGAACATGAAGATACTGAGGGTGAGTTATATTGTAACTTTCTGTCTTTTTCCCTAACTAACATCTCCTAGGCCGAACAAGAAGAACGTCGCAGAATTGAAGGGTTGCTGCGAGCCCTAAGAAAGGAGCACGCCCAGGTGACTGGCAAGCCAATGCCCAGCCCAGGTGGCACTCCATTATGATCATGACATTCAACGTTTTCGGGTTCTGAGCGCATATTTAGTTAAGAGTGTACATATAGACTGTTCTCTGTTTTGTATAATATTTCTTTTTGGTTTGATCTTGGCAGGCACGATGAGGGTTTTTAAGGAAATCACATACTCATCTTTGATATTCCCACCTGTCACTCCCCCAGTATATTTTCTATTTTCATCTTGACCAGGCTTCGCTCTTTCGCCTTCAAGATGTTTGTTCGAGGAAGACTCGATCAGTCCAGTAGCCCCCATTCGAATCTTCCAGCATCACAGAGCCCCAGACGTGAAAAGCAACCCGATTCCGACTCCATTTCACCATACGATAACCCAGAATCATCTGAGTCGGTCCTTAGTGATGAAAGATCTATATACAATGCGATCAGAGTCACCACACCAAATGATTCTAGCCCTCGTTTCTATGCATCTCTCGCCCATGATAACCCCGTGCACGAGCAAGGCTTAGCGGTAAACATGGCGAAATTTGCTACTACAGATTCACAGGATGATCATACTCTTATCATTATACCAGGAGGAAAACGACAGAGAATGGCCGGGAAGCTTGGGAATCATGCCAAGCTGTTATCTGACCAGTACTGGCAAGCTACACAACGGCGGCGATGTCCTTTGAGTAGAACGGCATCGGTACCAGACCCTCACCGATCTTTAAATCGCAAGGCTGTCTCTCTTGATACGAATGATAGTATCGACAGGCCCAAATGGCCTGGATGCTTGGGACCTGCCGTAATGACCGTCCAGCCTCGATATCCACCGCCAGAAAGAAAGCCCACACCCCCTGGCCTTCCCTCCTTCGGTACGTCAGAGGCCATGTCCTACTCTGCGCAGTTCATGCTCCCAGACAACGGTGTACGACCACCCACAACACTGCATTGTGGGGGTCTTTCTGGTAGTCAGCGTGGAAGTTCGTATGGTGATACCCTAAGGAGATTCTTCGGCTTCTCGTCTTCTACATCCCATACTGGCGGGATCTCCGTTAATGGCATAGGAAGAGCCGAGGACGGAACACTGGTACAGGGCCGGTTCCCCCATCGACAAAGTGGCCATGGAATGAGCATTGGTCGACAGCTGCATGAACACCCTTTTCATCAACGCAATCTTCCCATTGCCCAACCCGAAGTCACTGATACAAGCCATGATTCCCATATTGAAGCTGCACACACAAAGGGTGATCTCGGGGCTCGCCCAGGCAGGCGTGTGCAGCCTCCGGCCTCCCCATCTCGACGACATTTTCCTTTTACATCGAGTCCCACCCCTGCTGTGGTAAGCCGCGCACCGCGGCACAGAGACACTGGACATCTCGGCGTGTCGTGCAACTCGCTTGGATCAGACGGTCCTACAGATTCAGTGGAATCTTCTGCCCAAGGAACTAGAGCAACTGGAGACCATATCCCCCCACATCCGTCGCGGTTGCATTCCGTTTTGACGATTGTCCGCGGCGGTGCAGATGAAGGCCCTCATGCAAGCACGCCCATTTGTCCGGACGTTCTGTCATGGGTAAAATCCCAGACTTGTCTCTGCTGCTGCTCGGGCAGCCAAGAGGAACAGGATGATTCTCTTGGGGCGACCAGCTCGCGGGAAACATATGTAACGGCCCAGAGCCAACCATCGCCTGCTGGATCCCAGAATGAAAACAGTGAGGGGAATACTCGTTTCCATGGCCTCCAGGCATGGATTTCATCTCTTTACGGTGCCATGTTCCCGGCCCCTATGAACCCTACCGCTGTATAATCTTCCATGGAGGTATATGCTATACGCTTTCACAGCCTGTTTCGTGGCTACTGTGATGTTGTTTTCTTTCTTTTCTGAATGTTCAGTGCATGAACGTGCTTGCTTACTGGGTGGTCTTATCATTAATTAGAACGTGTTTTAGCATCTTGCTTCTGTACATACGTCCCTCTCTTGTTAGCTGATGCTCTACCTTTGAATAGGAGATGGTTCTTCTCTCGTATGCTGAAAATCGCATGCTTGTTGTCTATCCACAATAGACTATTACGAGAAACATTTTGAGCCCCATCGAATGTACAGTTCATCTCTCAATCACATTGGTGAATGCTTGATAGATTCCTTCGTTTCATTAATACCTTAAAAACGTAGCGCATTCAAATGAAACCTCCTTTCTACCATCACCGGATGTTCACATTCTACGTAATGATATATGTATTTAGTATGGTTTAGACCTCTGTACCCGAATCAACTCTTCACGATATAATCTCACCCAGAAACCGAGAAAGTCCAATCCCTCGGGAACAAACTGTACTGCACATCATCTCTATCCCGGAAGATATCATCATAATGCGCAATACAAGTCTTCGGATCCTCAGCCTGCACATAGTAGCTATCACCCAGCGCCTTGAACACGGGATCATTCCACATCTTCGCCATCCACGCCAGCACATCAGGGCTAGCACCATCTAGCGAAAGACCATAAGAGCGGAACCGCTAGAAAGCAAAGTCAGCCAATGTTTTTTTTCTTCTATCGTTGAAGAAAGAAAAACATACCCAAAGAACTGGCCAAAAGAACGCATCCGCAATACTAAACCCGCCAAACAAAAACCCTTCATCAACCTCGCCCAGCACGGCAAGCCGCTCTGCAGTCGCCTTCCGCGCCGAATCCCAGATCCGGAGCATGCGCGCTATCTCGGCGTCTGTGCCGTCCGGTATCGGGATGTTGCCTGTATACTTGCCGAGGAAGTTTGTGCTGAAGTTGTTCCGCAGGACTGGGAAGCCGGAGTGCATTTGGGCTGCGGCGCTGCGGGCTAGGGCGCGCAGTTGGCGGTCTTTGGGCCAGAGGGCGAGTGTTGGGTTTGATTCAGCGAGGAATTCGCAGATGGCGAGGGAGTCTGTTATTATTGTTGAGGGGAGAGAGTGGCATTGGAGGATTGGGACTAGGCCTGTTGGGGAGAAGGATTTGTTCTATGTTTGGTGAGTGACTGTATACCTATCTTCATGAGGATGGAGGTAGGTACTTCAGAGAGTGGTATGAATTGGCGTGTATGGGGGATCTGGAAGTATTCCAGTACTGCTTCAACGCGTGCTGTCCAACCTAGAGAGGACTTGTTAGGTCTGATGTGTGGATGGTTGCATGGTGCTTACTGGAGTAGCGGGTGTATAGCCCGATGAGGTGGTAGTCCGGGGTAGCCATGTCTAGAGATGGAATTGAGAAGTGAATAGTATGAGTCTGGGGAAATGCAAGTACTCCAGGGCTAGGTCGTTGATATATAGCCCTATGGTGGGGTATGAGTCATTCAGAAGGTTCATGTAATTGATGCTAGTCATAATGCTATCGATCAAATGCCACACCGGCGCCATGCAAGGAAAAGTAAGATAAATAGAAACTCCGAAAAAGATATAGGCCATGACTCCTAACATAGAAGTCAAAATAAGAAATACATCATTTAAGCCCACCGTATAGCATGACACGACATTGAGAAGATGGGCAAGGGGAGGGGAACACGGAGAGAAGGAGAAGAGAGTGGGAGAGAGGATCAATGCGCCAGGTAAAGCACAGCGCGATCGTATGGATGCTAATAATAGTAAATCGTGAAGTGAATTGAGCCATCTTTTCATCAGAGGGTTCGAAATTCGCACTCAATAAGGGCAATGCAAAAGATGCACTGAAGTAAAACAAGAACAGATGCTGATATTAAAAGGCGTAAAAGGCGAGAAAGAATTAGAGACTCTTGAAGAATGGACTCGCCTCAATGATTTCTTCATCATCGCAGGCAAAATCCCATCCCACAATGCGAGGGTCCACGCTGGCACAAATCAGCTTCCGTGCGTCAAACTGGAGTTTGAACACCCTCGCAGCTGTCGAGGACCCTTGAGGTCTGCGCTGATGACCATGGTGGTGATGGTGGTGCGCAGGAGGTGGGTTGAGTGCTGGGGCATTGATAGCCACAGGAGGCACAAATGGTGGGTTGGCACGACTAGCGTGGGGAGTGGCATTGGGTTGCCCAAGTGTCGCCAGAGCCTGTGCTGCTTGTAATTGTTGAGCCTGGGCCGCGACAGTGGCTCGTGCCACTTCGCTAAGGTTCGCACGAGTGGAATTGGCGATGGCATCACTGTGTCGCAGTTGATGATCCGTTATCCACTTGTTATCACGGTCTTTGTGCCATATTATGATTGACTCGTCGTAGGAGCCCGACACGATACGCGCCCAGCTACTACCTCCCCCACCAGGTGGGATTTTAGCTCCCAGGGCGGGCATATCGCGAGGGTCTCGTGATCCTGCAGTGTTTGGTTGGTAGCCATTGCGGCGTTGCTCCCGGTGGCCCATTTCGACGTCCAACCCGGCCTCTTGAGCGGCGAAGAATGCAGTGTCACATGCTAGCGCTTCTTCGCGCAAGGTTCGGTCGGCTCCCGGAGCATCACCAAACCCAGCTTGAAGGGTGCGAACGAGATTATTATGAGCTCGCAGACACGCCACCTCGGCTCCGGTAGCATGATCGTAGATGCGAACAGTGTTATCATTACTGCCACTGATAATTCTTCGGCTGTCGAACTCAACACATGCGATGCCTTTCTCGTGGCCCGTCAAAGTCTTCGAGCAATTACCAGTGCGGATGTTCCAGACCTTGATTACTCGATCTCCAGACGCCGTCACAATATCATCACCATGAATCTGCATCGCGTTCACGGCGGCTCCATGTCCTTCCACGGTCATTAGCAACGTGTAAGGCTCTAGGACTTTGTATTGACCACGCGCAATGCCAGCTTCAAGCATGTTCGGTGCAATGGTGTTCAGATCTATTATCCATCCGGGATATGTGGCGCTTGATTTATGGCAGATATGCGGATAATCCTTGCTATTCGGTAGAAGATCTCGGCGGTTCCATACCTTCACAGTTCGATCTTTGGAACAGGTTACGAGGTAACGATGATCGAATTTGAGATTCAGCACCGAGTCAAGATGCGCTTGCTCAATTTGATGGATCTTTTCTCCAGTGGAGAATTTCCATATAATGACGGACTTGTCACTGCTACCGGAGATGATGATGTCTTCCTCGGGTCGGGGATCAAATTGCAGGCAAAGTACGGATTTCGTATGTCCCATCAGTGCGGGATGCCACAGTCGTTTGGTATCCAGGTTCCAGACCCGCACGGTCTTGTCTCGGCTCCCACTGACTAGCCATCGGCCTTCGAATTGGATCGCATATACGCATTCCCGATGGGCTTCTTCTGGATGGGACGGGTCAGGAAGTTGGAAATTGGTGTATCGGCCTTGATGCCAATTTGCTTCAAGTCGCCTGCGTTGCTTGTAGATATGGAAATAGTTGACTTTAGCACTTCCATCGGTATCCCGCATGAGAAGACGCGATCTTAGAGGTGGGTACAATGGTGAGGGAGATTGGGGAATATTAGTGGGTAGAATAAACTCTGGGTCTTCGGCAAACGAAGGTGCTGTTTGATCGTCATCATCAGTCATGTGGTGATCGCCTTCACTGTCGGCCATGGGGGGCGCAGGGCCAAACACGGTCGGTCTTTGGCTTTCGTCACTTCGTGAATCGAGCCAGGTAGATGGCACGCGCTTTTTATGTTTAGGCTCCCCGAGGTCTGGTTCCAAGTGTCGTAGGCGGGACTTCCGGGTCTGGGGCGACATGGCCTCGGAATGTTCTTGCTCAAACGCGCGAACCGCGCTCGTGTCCACGTCCCAACCTTCGTGTATGTACTGGAATCTCCATAGACCCGAGTCAAGGATACGTTCACGCCATGAGCGGGATGCAAGCGAGGCATTCAAAAGCGTCCGGGCGTCGAGGTAGGTAAAGACCTCCCATATGATTTCTGGGGGAAGCCTGACACATGGGTCGATATGGAGAATGGGGTTAAGTCGATCAACTACTGCGGCGATGCTTGAGGTTCGTAGAGATCGAAGAAGGCTGTATGCGAGCTCTGGGGGCGAGAAACCGTCGGTTAACAAAGAAAATTAAGAAAAGCAAGAAAATCTGATGTTTCGCGCTCATAGCAATTATCGAGGGGGCAAAGGGAAAGGGAAAGGGAAAGGGATATCTTACCAGCTCTACCGGCCTCAGACTGGGCGAGCACCCAATTTGGAAGGGCCATGACATTGTCCGATCCTAGATCTTTGTCGGCCTGGCTTCGAGTATCGTCCGAGTAGCCCTCATCTAGCTTAAACGACGGTGATAGAGAAGGGGCGGAGAACTCGGAGATGGTAGTTGTTTGCAATTGCAGTGTAGGGGATATCTGAACATCGGGCAGAGGCTCACCCTCCATTGATGCGGGTTTTCAGAGCGGGTCTGCGCCGAGCTGATGAGTCGAACGCCGAGATCAATGGTGCGCGGTGGCTGCGAAGTCCCACAAGGGAGTTTTCGCGAAGAGAGATTATAGAAAATTAATAAATGGGTAGGGTTCTTTGTAAGAGGAGGGTTGGGGATGGGAGGTTGAGTAGATAGATGGGTTGGCCTCGGTGCAAGTCACGTCACGTTTGGACGAGACAAGGCCCACCTGATAGAGCGCAACAGCTTCAGTCGGAAAGTAGGAAAAAAGAAAAAAGAAAAAAGAAAAAGAAAACATAGAATTTCAATTTAAATACAGAGTAATACTCTCAACCGTCTCTCATCGAAGTATGTAATAAAAAGCTTTGGAATAACACGCGTGAAATGGACATTATTGTCCCAGTCACGTGGCTCGCGCCTGTAGCAAAACATATACAACATATGCTTATGAGAAAAACAGACTATAATAAAGACATTAAGAATATTGCATCAAAGAAAAGTAGGAAGTTAACAATAGGTCGATTTCTCAATGTCTCATACAGTATTGCATTGGCAAAGGACTTGGCCTGTTCTATTAGATGTTGATATAGTATATCCGATGGAAACCGGCAATTTACTTTCTCCAATATTAACGCAAAAGACAAGAGTCAATAATAACCTTGGAAAAGTTCTAGAGCAAAAGATTTTGACTGTAAGTGTATACTTCACTAGTTCAATGTACCTTTTTGTACTCCGTATGCGAATCTATAAAGGGTATTGTACAAGCATCTCTCTCTTTCTAGGCCCAGCCCCGGGGGCCTGGCTTGCCCAGCCCTGGGGGTCCCTGGCGCTGCTGACACAAGCAAAAGCCAACTGCCCCTCTCCACATCACACCGCCCCATAAAACACACGCTAAACCATTTGAGGTAACTGAACAGACTCCTTCGGCTCACCCTCTCTCCATCCTATTCCTCTGTTACCATCAGAACTCTTGTCTGTTGTACTTGCTCTTGTTTGTCTTCTTGACCTTATTCAACTGCTGAGACTGTCTTGTTTTGGCCATTATTCTGTTATTTCGTGCGCCTCCCCCTTTTTTTAGAGGGACTTCGATTGTCCGCCTGAGTCCTAGTGACTGGCCCTTTCGCAAAGGTGTTCCTCCGAACTCTCTTTAACCTGATTTGACTCGCCTGCCCGGCTGCAGCAGTCATTCAGACACTTGAATTCCCCACGCCGCATTGATTGGGGCTGGCTGCAGGTCGGAATATATTCCTCGAGCCCCTCCTTTTCCTGGAAGTGACGGTGCACCATATTTGATATCCGCGCTATTGGATTCAAATAAATATACCTATATTTATTACCTCTTGCCTCTGATCTCTCAAGGGCATTTCCAGGGGCCCGCATCCAAACCGATCACGCCTACGACCGAGAACCGATCGTATCGCTGTTGGTCTCCGGAATTTCGGGCGAAACTCCGGTTGACAACTCCCTGCGCCGCACAGCTCACAACCCACCCGGGGAACCCATGATCGTCATCTCTTCACTTCCGACGCTCGTCGATTCCTCCGAACCTATCCCTATTGGGTCTACTGTGCAGATTTAAATTGAGCCTGGCTGGTCTAACTCATCTATATCTGGCCCTCGAGGAAATTCGATATGATCGACTCCGCAGCCATGAGCGGCGCTCCGATCGCCGAGGATAACATTATAAACCGCCGCGGTGGAGAATCGATTTACCAGAGCTGTGTCAATTTGAGGAGGCGGCTATCTGAAGTTCCTAACTTCGAGCCATACCTGCAAGAGATGGATGACGATGATCGCATGAGAGGGAATACAGATCCGGTGGCTTCCTTGTGGAATTGTCTCCGAAATGGCTATCCACTGTTGAGCATTTATAATGCGTCCGGTCCCGAAGAGCAACTAGAAATTGATC